ATATGATATTCGAGGAGGTGATTCAAGGAATGTCTAACCTCACTATCAGGGAACTTTACCTTCCCTCACAAGATCTAACCTAACTCACATGAAACTTAACTCTCATTTAAAATAATTAATTATTGCGGCATAGTCTTATGGCGATTTAGTTCGTGTATTGTGAGCAGATACTTTTACAAAAATCGTCAAAAAAATCTGTAGGGATGCAGGCCGTTCATCCGGCCTTTTCAATGACAATCCAAAAACGCTATGACACATAATAATCAGGCTGTAATACAGGAATGTTTAGTTTTCAAGTTTCAGGGCTTTACTCCAATGACAGGGGTGGGCACAAAACCCAAAAAAATTATAGATTTGCCTGAGTTTTTTTGGTAAATAAAAATTCAAAGTAAAAAGCATGGTGCTGACATCTATCATTATTAATGAAGACTAACATTTTATCGTTAAATGCAAGATACTTTATTATTACCATTATTTTAATTACACTTATTTCTGAAAGATGTCGCCACACAATTTTTTAAATACAATTCATTAAACCAACGTTAGATGTCAGAGCGTCTCTTAATTACAGGAACCATAGAGACATTAACAATTAACCTCAAATGTACAAATAAAACTAAAAGTTTGTTTATTATTTTAATCAAAAAATGAACTTAATTATCGCTCCTTTCGTTCTTACAGATTTAAATTAGGGAACTACTGGGAGTGACAGGAAAGCGGCAGACTATTGAGGAAAATGAAACTGATCGCTCTGGGTCATCCGTTCGGAAGACGTGTCGTTCTCGATGGAGGAGAAACGTTAGCATTGAATTCCGACAACAGAAATTGTAATCAAAACAAGAGGACACGGTGGAGGAACCGTTCAAACATCTCACCGTTAAAATCGAAGCGTTCACATGATTGCAGCAGCTGCCGATGGTGCGAAGCTATTTTTCAATAAATTTAGCTTCGAGGAATCAATCGATAGAACTACGGATACAAAAACGCTAGTGAAATGGGACGAACGTGTTACGTGAAAAAATATGTTGTTGTTTGTGCGAACTTTGAGTAAAAATTGTAAATCGTACCAGTGTCGAATGTTCTATCGACTTTAAATGAAATCCTGTGCAAGAAATTACCAATCGCAGAAGAAAATTCGATTTCAGATCATTGAGTATGATGTGTTGCCTACAAACCAGGCTATATATTTATCAAGTTTTGTCCGTCGTATCCGACCGTTGGCTCAGTTAGTCCATTTTGGCCTTTGGAATACAAAACGACCATAGCCTGAACACCTACATCAAATGATATGTAACCTTTGTTTATTGACTACGGTCATTGAATAATTTTAGTTTATTCCATAATTATTAGTTGATGATCTTAAATATCGTCCCGACATCTGGCGTAATTAAGTCAGACTCAGATGTTACCAATAAATGTAGGGCACCTCTATATTACCATTATATTAGTTGTTTAAGTTTAGGTACAGATGTCACCACTGGCAAGAAATAGATTTCCTTTAACACACGAGCTGCGAGTTCATTAAACTGACGTTAGATGTCGGAATGTTATGTTTTCAAATGTAAATTTTTATGCAAACAGGGGCTCGTTTTGATCACTATTTTGTAACATTTCTGCAGTGGGTAGCAATAGCACTTATCTTATTACGGTGTCCTTCATGTACTTAATTGGGGATAATCAAGCAAATCCCGAAATTTGAATATGGGTACTCGATATTTGTATAGCCTGGTTTGTAGGCAACACATCATGCTCGATGAACAGAAAACGAACATCTGTTTACAAAATTCGTAACTTCTTATGCATGGGAGTTTATTTAAAGCACTTGGAAGAACAATTTCAATACAGGTACATTAAAGTAAACCATTTTACAAGAACTTTCACACGAAGATCACACAAACAACACATGTTTGGATGCTTGGAAACAGCGTAACACTTTTACCTTATTTCGCTGCCAATTTCACTACCGTTTCTATAACTGTAGTTCTACCGAATGAACTCTAGGCTCAATTCTTTAAAGAATAGCTTCGCGCCATCGGCAGCTGCTGCAATCATATAATCGTTCCGATTTTAACGTTGAGAAGTTTGAATTGCATCACAATGGGTTTTCTACGAGTTCTCCACTGTGTCCTTCAGTTTTGATTACAAAGAATTTCACTTTTCAATTTCTGTTGTCTGAATTCAATGCTAACGTTTCGCATCCATCGAGAACTACCAGTCTTCCGATCGGACGACTCAGAACGATCAGTATCATATTCCGCAATGCCCGAGTCTGCCGTTTTCTTATCACTCCCAGTAGCCAGTCCCCTAATTTGAACCTGTAACCGAGAAAGGAATCACAACAATGTTGAATTTTTGATTTTAAAATAGACAAACATTTTAGCATTTGAGGTTAAAACTAAATCTATGGTTTTTTTATAAGTGCGGTCTGACATCTAACGTTAGTTTCATAAAGTGCATTATAAAATAATAGTGGCGACATCTTTGCGGTTTAGGTGGCAACTAAAATAATGGTGGTAATAAAGTGTTCTGCATTTAACGATAAAATATTAGTCCCCAATAATGAAGACAGATGTCAGCACAATGAATTCTACTTTGATTATTTTAATATTAACCAAAAACTCGGGCAAAGCTATAAACATTTTGGCCATTTTGGGATTTGTGTCGTTCGCTGTCAAAGAAGCAAACCACGAAACTCGAAAATTAAACATTTCGTTCCTGTATTATAGCCTGCTCCTTTGCGTTATAGCGTTTGTGGATTGCCATAGGAAAGGGTGGGCGAACGAACGGCCGTCCGTAAAAGATTTTTTGACGATTTTAATAAAGTATCTGTTTCCAATACACGAGTTAAATCGCCATAAGATTATGCCGCAATAAATAAGAATTTTAAACCGGTGATCATTTTAAAGACTTGAGAGTTAAGTTTCATGTGAGTTAGGTTAGATACAAGATTTGTAAAAATTTAAAACGCCCAAACTAATCTGACCTAACCTAACTAGCACGCTAACCTAACCTCACTTAAATTTTATTTTAACCTTCGATCTCCTCGCACATTATATTCTCCTGATACAAGATTTCTGAGCTAAACTAACTAGCACGCTAACCTAACCTCACTTAAATTTTATTTTAACCTTCGATCTCCTCGCACATTATATTCTCCTGATACCAGATTTCTAAGCTAACCTAACTAGCACGCTAACCTAACCTCACTTAAATTTTATTTTAACCTTCGATCTCCTCGCACATTATATTCTCCTGTTACAAGATTTTTGAGCTAACCTAACTAGCACGGTAACCTAACCTCACTTAAATTTTATTTTAACCTTCGATCTCCTCGCACATTATATTCTCCTGATACCAGATTTCTGAACTAACCTAACTAGCACGCTAACCTAACCTCACTTAAATTTTATTTTAACCTTCGATCTCCTCGCACATTATATTCTCCTGATACCAGATTTCTGAGCTAACCTAACTAGCACACTAACCTAACCTCACTTAAATTTTATTTTAACCTTCGATCTCCTCGCACATTATATTCTCCTGATACCAGATTTTTGACCTAACCTAACTAGCACGCTAACCTAACCTCACTTAAATTTTATTTTAACCTTCAATCTCCTCGCACATTATATTCTCCTGATACCAGATTTTTGACCTAACCTAACTAGCACGCTAACCTAACCTCACTTAAATTTTATTTTAACCTTCGATCTCCTCGCACATTATATTCTCTTGATACCAGATTTCTGAGCTAACCTAACTAGCACGCTAACCTAACCTCACTTAAATTTTATTTTAACCTTCGATCTCCTCGCACATTATATTCTCCTGATACCAGATTTCTGAGCTAACCTAACTAGCACGCTAACCTAACCTCACTTAAAATTTTATTTTAACCTTCGATCTCCTCGCACATTATATTCTCCTGATACCAGATTTCTGAGCTAACCTAACTAGCACGCTAACCTAACCTCACTTAAATTTTATTTTAACCTTCGATCTCCTCGCACATTATATTCTCCTGATACCAGATTTCTGAGCTAACCTAACTAGCACGCTAACCTAACCTCACTTAAATTTTATTTTAACCTTCGATCTCCTCGCACATTATATTCTCCTGATACCAGATTTCTGAGCTAACCTAACCTCACTTAAATTTTATTTTAACCTTCGATCTCCTCGCACATTATATTCTCCTGATACCAGATTTCTGAGCTAACCATGGGCTGCATTTACTCTCAAGATTCACTCGGAACAGAATATGCGTTTATTTTGTTTGTACAGTTTTCAATATAAAAATTATTTACAGAAGTTGTACTTTATTTTCCTCCCTAATAACAAAACTGATAGGAAGATTACAGTACATTACAATAAGCACCTGGTCCTTCGCACTTTGCCGAAAACACTTACAAATTTGGTAGGTATCAGGAAGATATAACGTGAAAGGAGGTCTTTCAGTCCCAAATACACCTGTTCTTTGTAGGCAAACTTACGTAAAAGGTGTCTTGCTACTAGGAGAACAGAATTCACGAAAAGGTCTTTTTCTATCACTATGAGAGTTATTTCAAAGCTTAATTTCGATTTAAAAATTTGCCATTCTGTATCGGGATCATATGATGTGCGAGGAGGTGTTTCATTTCCTAATACTACACCTGTTACTTGTCGACAAACTTATCCAAAGGTTACAAAAGTTACAGCCCTTTGAATTTTCTTTCGAAACTTTTGATTGAAAAGTCTGATCGAAAAAGTACGAATTGTTTTGGATTCTACGCACCAAAATTAATAAGAAAAAGTGTTCTCCCGAGAAATGTTGGTGCAGTCGATTCTTGGTAAAAAAGGAACTGCCTTTTTTTGAGGCCGGAAAAAAAAATTGTCTGGGATCGACCGGGAAATTTTGCAATTTTGATGCAAGTGAGTTGAAATTTTGCGGGAATTTAGCCTTTACCTTTGTTTTTTTTTTGTGAAAATCGGACGTTTGATTACATATTGACCATAAATAATAATTGTATAACTAACGGGATGCTTTATTATTAATTTATATCTTTTACAATTTTAATTGTAGTGTTTTTAATTCTTGCAAGAACAAACTCCAATTAAATAATTGACATTAGTTATAAACCATAGGATTTATATCAGTGTGGTTTCATCCTGCGAGTCAAAAATCATAAGTAGAGAATGCTGGGACGATGAACGCTCCGTTGGGCTTAATAGAGCTGTACGTTCTCCATTTTCATTTAAAGAGCAATCCGGCGAGCTGTTGTCACCGTGGATGTAATTGGTCGCCGCGCTACTTGTTGAGGGCAGATCGTGAATGTCTGGCGAAGCAAGTGGGGGACAAGGTTTGGGGCTCGAGTCTAAGGATTCCTTAAGTTGCATTACGGGGTAGGATTCCCTGTAGCCTGACGTGCTTGATGTGTGAGAAATTGCGCTATCTTCGTCCCACGATCCCTCAGTAGGTTTAGAGCGAAAGGATATTCTCAGTTTGTTAGGCTCAAAGACCTGCTGTGGAATCGACGTAACCGATAGCTCTGCCGGAGTTTGTTCGGAGAGGATAGTTGTGGGCGAGGTCGTCTGGGATGGCGTGGTCACTGCAGGTATTTCTTCTGGTTCAATATTAATGTGCGAAACTTCGATGCGACTTTTGCGACTCTTGCGCAATCGAAAAGTTTTACGACTCTGAACCTTGACTCTTTGAAGGCGCGGCTTGTTCGGGTGCAACTCGCCGGAACTATCATCCGCTGGACTTCCCGGACTTAAAGGCGTTGTGGAGGTTTCTCCTGCGGAATTTACAGCTATATAAGTAATCATCTATAATAAAAGCATCAACCATGCACTTGTCGCAAATTTCAAATATTGCGACAATTACAGCTGGTGAGAAAAATACTTGAATATATGTACAAAAGGAAGACAGTTACCTGAAGAGTGTCTAAGTTCTACAGAAGAAACAAAACGTAATTTATGTGCCTTATGTTGTGAATCAGTTTTTTGTATGCCATGTTCATCACTAATGGAAGATTGCTGGGAACGATCTGAAACATGCGACATTCAACACACCTAAAGTACTCAATTCAGTCAAAGAATAAGCAGTGGTATGCAACAAATGGGTGAAAGTAATCCTTAAAACAATAAACATATTACCATGAACTACATGGGACTACGATCAATCACTGTTTTGCGTTCAAAATAAACCTAATTACATTTTCTGAACTCTGTAGCCCACTCAATGAAGGAAAAATAGAGGAAATGATTCGTGTATTCGCGTATTTTGGGATAGTTGTAGGTGAAGGTGTCTTAAATATTGTACTAAAAGTACTGATGGATGAGAGGGTGTAAAGGTTCCTTGGTTAAACCGAAGCATACACCGCAGACGCTGGAGCAGGCAACTCTTGCCGCATCGCATCCCACACTCAGTTGTGCATAGGCACATGGTGCTAAAAATGGAGTTAGGTGACACTGGGTTGCTTTTCACTGGCATTAGTATACCATCGCCGGCTCTTCTGCGGAGGGGGGGGGGGGGGGGTGAAAATTTACAATTGATTTCGTACCTTCTAGCTAATTCTCTAGAAACCATTTTTGAACTTCCCCCTCGATTTCTAATCAGTATTTCCACTCAAAGCAATAATCACCTTAAGTCAAAAGTTATTGTGTGGGTACTTTTGAAATGAACACACTGTATACATATACAGTGAAAATGAGGCGGCGCTGAGAGCCCTGTCAGCATCAGACAGGTTTTTCCAAGCTCTACATAGATTAAGTGAGTCTAATAGGGTAAGGTTGATTTGGGTGCCAGGACACTGCGGAATAGGGAGCAACGAAAAGGGGGACGAGCTGAGTCGCAACGGCAGTGGTGGGGTCTTCGTCGGGACCCAGCCTACCCTAGGAATTGCTCCCTCCGTTGTCAGGGCCAACAAGCAACCCACTCAGACTGTCCAGGGCCTTCTAAGCTTCTAAAACTGAATAGAAGCTAAATTAGGAAGATCACCGCTTAACGTTGGGCGAGCCCACGTACTGGTTCTGTGGCGAGCCAGATCAAACTACCGAGCGTGTGGTCCAGGGCTGTAGCCAGATTAGTTTCTAAGAGCGGGCAAATAAATCTCCAGAGGGGGCGAGCGAAATATTAATGATTTGCTGTGTGCCGTGCAGATGCCATCCGCTGAAGAAATTCGTTTATAGCGTAACCCACGAAAGTGGCGTGCTTATGTTTTCACAATTACGTCCGCCTGTCTGTCGTTCCGTGCTATAGCTCAGTCCCTAGACCTCGTATCGACTTCAGGTCACTTTCTTATACGAAAGGTTATAGATTCCAACTATCACAAATTAACTTTGCCCTAAATCGATCCAAATCGTTATTTATGCACCAATTTTTCTGCGAAAAAGATCAAACTCAGTGACCAAGAAATGATACATGTGTATTTTTGGTGACCAAAATATTTTTATACTCAAAGCATGTGAAATCGTTATTTATGGATCAATCTTTTTGGGAAACTCGATTGCTCAATTCCCAAGTTGTGTCAACATATTTTTGGGCACAATATTATTACTGATGTTACGTTTTTCTTGGGAAGAAGGCCTCGTATCGACTTCGGGTTTTCGCGATATGAAAGCTATATAGGTTCCAAATGTGCAACTATCAACAATTAATTTTGGCATCCATCAAATTGGTCAAAATCTGTCGATCTATGTGAGTAGGTTGCACTGGAAATA